CTTGTAACTCAAGTCAAAGGAATAAGCACAGCTTGTTTTCTTTGAACTCTCCCTCCAGTGTTATGTCTAAATGAGCCTTAAAGAGCTGTTTAAAAATAACTAGGAGGGCCAGATTCCAGGAGAAAACTACATAGAACTTATAGATGAATCTGTTTCTCTAAATTGTCTGTTTAGTTTGGGCTGTGCTATTTCCTGCTCAAATTGGTTTCCTGCAATTTGTTAAGGCTGCCAAATACCTAGTGATCTCAGTGATATACTTAACACAAATCGGCAAATCTTTCTCATTTTTTACAATGACGAGAAATTTACAGAGAAACTTGCATGGTGAAGATAATAATAAAAGTGAGTTCATTTGTCTTTTTTTCCAGATTCATCATTTTCATCTGGTTAGTGGCTTAGGAAAACAACCAAAAGCCTCCTAATATCATTTCTTATCTGTTTTTTTCATATTGATTTGGGGACAGTTTCTTCAGCAATAGGCAGGGTCAAACATGAGAGATATGACCTCACTATAAGCCACAAAAACTGTAAGATCAGGATGGAAAGGAAAAAAATCAATACCAACATTGATTTTTAAAATCAAAAGATGCAAGATGTTAATGAAAAGGTAAGTTTATAACTATGTGCAATGGTATCCCCTAATGTCAACCTAAGAAAAAAATTATCTAGTGTAAAACCGAACCAACAGAGTTTAGATAATGCAGCAATGAATCTGAGGCAGCGAGGACACAGTTAAGTTCTTTAGAGCACATTCATTTATTAAAGTGGCATTACAATCTGCTGTGTGTCACATAGTATATTATTTTGCCCGAACAGCTTTACATGCAAATACTTATTGCAACGAGTCATTGATCTGGTTCAAGGTTTGGCAAAAAATAGTTTTAGTAAAGCCTTCAGATCCCGCTTTCTTACAGTATAAAATATACTCTCAAAATTATATACGTGACAAAACTTAGTTCCTATATACAGAAATACTAGGGCTCTCAGTCCATCAAATACACTGCCCTGTATTCACACATATGAATAGCCTAGGGCAGGTACGCATAAGAGTCCTATGAGAAAGAAAGCATTTTAATAAATCCTATGAGGAAGAAAGCATTTTAATAAATATTAAAAATTCAACTCACATCTAATATATAATTTACTTGACATTGAAAAAATGTAGAAAAGGCAAGTGACATTTTTATCAATACATTTTCATAGGCTTGAAAAATTATTTCATGACACATCTAAATTATAAATCATAAGAAATCTTTTATTGAATACTAACTAAAACCCCTAAATGAGACATAGTCAGAAAAGAACATAAATTTTGAGGCTTTCTACTTTTATAAACATATTTTTTTTAATTCTAAGAAAACTAAACCTTTGGTAATTTATACAATCACAGTCTAATTGCATTATTAACCCAAAGGCAAGATCATTTCAAAATGGCATGCCAAACCTTAGCTGTTGCCTGAGTTAGGTTGGAATGGGTAAGGGAAATCAGATACTTGAAGAGCCTGTCCTATTATCCTCATTAGGTCTTTTTCACATCATGGTGGTGACAGAAATAAAAATATTTGTGTGGCACACAGGGCTACCCAGGTGATCCCCAGCTACTCTAAGTCTAAGGACACCCAAAACACACAGGTTGGGAAGCTATGCTAAAGACTGAGGTAAAGATTGCATACTGCAGGGGAATGTTCCCTGAGGATAATGCTGAGACAGTTGGGATGTAGAAGGGGCAGGAAATAAGATTTGCAAACACAAACATACAGAGCCATCTAGCCCCGTAACTTCAGGCACGCCATCATTAAAACCATCTGATGAAGCCCATGATGCCAAGCACTGGTGTATTCGAAACTAGAACTATGAAACAGAACCTTCTGCAATGATAGACATGTTCTACATATGTGTTGTCCAGTCATAAGCCACATGGCATCATAAGCCACATGCAGTTATTGAGCATGTAATGTGGCTGGTGCAACTTAGGAGCTGCAATTTTTATTTTATTTTAATTATTATCTAATTTTTAATAACCACATGTGACTAGTAGCTACCATTTATTGAGTGCAGGTCTAGCCTAACCACCAAAACACAAGGTGGCATTATAAGAGCTTCCAGTGCCCAGGCTGGTCACAGCTGGGCATGGACCAAAGAGTTGATCAGTCATGTCAAACCTGGAATGGGAAGACACAGATCCCTTAGCAAAGCCAGAGCTTATCATGATGTCAGGGACTCGCTCTGCAGGCCATACACACCATAAGCATTCAGAGAAAGCCTCCCAACCATGCCCACTCTCTCAAAATATTGGTTGAAGAAAACAACCCAAGAAGGAAAACATTTCCACTCCTTCCACTCACTACTGAATGAAAGCCAATATGGGGAAAAGCTAGAACCAACAATCACTTATGACAGGAGGCTCTTTCCTAAGCTTAAGCAGAAAATCACTAAACAGTTGCTTCTTCCCTCCAACTAGTTTCTGTCACATCCTTTCTACAAATGAAGCAAAGTGTCACTCAAATGATAACAAAACAGAGTGCCTAACTGCATCTAATCTGGAGTTAGACAGACTTGGATGTAACTCTCACCTCCATTGCTCACCAGCTCTGTGACTTTGGGCAAGATAATTAATCACTTCCAATCTTAGTTTTCTTCTATGTAAAATGGATGACTAACAGTTCCTTCCTCATAGGGCTATATGGATTAAATGAGATTAAGACATTTAGCAGAGTACCTACCATATAATAAACACTTAAGTGTCATCCATCATTATTTCATCACTATTTCTTCCACCATCGTCATAGCTCCTTAACACAGAAAGTAGGGGGAAAAAAAAAAACCTACCTACAACAAAGTATATTTCAGAACAAAATTCAACTTTAAAAATACCCATATATCAAAAGTTATTCTTAAACCAAAATACTTCATTATACTTAATTTCAGTATCTTCTAAGTTTCTTTTATACTATGTTTTTACCTTCCTTATAGTCTTGTTATATATTTAGTTGTATATGGCCAAACCTCTAAACTCTTTACAGATCTTTCTCCTATTTTTGTGTCCCCTCAAAAATACCTAACTTAATTACTTCCATAGTAGACGTTCAATAAATGTCATGTGAATTATATTTATAGAGTTATCAAGAATGATCAAAAGTAGCTACTGTTAAAATGAATAATAGGATTTGCCCTAAATGAATTCAACAGACACTTAATAACAGCATTTACTAAGAAGCTGGTAATATCCTAGGAGCTAAGAATTCAACTATGAACAAACAGACAAGGGATAAGGTCCCTGGAGCTTGTCTTTTGGAAAAGATAACAGCAGGGGAAGGGTCACAGGAGATGATGAGTAATGAGATGATGTTGGACAGGCAGCCAGGGATCAGTCATGGTATGCCTTGGAAGCCAAAGGAAGTAGTTCAGCTTACAATATATTCTATGTGCCTGGAGAGCCACCACTGAGACATGACATGAACTGATTTACTTTTGTCAAGATTGTGAGGACCTCTGTGTGTACAGCACAGGGTGACAAGAGTGGATGCAGGGGGCCAGTTAAGACGCTTCTGCAGAAGGTAGGGTAAGAGATGGTGGTTACCTGGATTGGAGTGGTGGAAGAGATGGACTGGAAAGGAATATATTCAGATGTGTTTTAGAGACAGAGCTGACAACACTAGTTAATGGCCTGATGTACAGAGTTAGGAAAAGAGGCTGAATCCCTAGTTTGGGGCTTGACTACCTGTGCCATTTACTGGGAAAGATGGAAAGAAGCAGCAAGTCTGGGGAGGAATAAAAAGGTTTGGGATATATTAAGGAATCTTGTAGTGGGGATTTCTAACAGTTTATTGAAGTCTGGTGTTCCGGGGAACGGTCAGGGCTAGAGATATAGTTTCAGGAGTTACTGCAATCCATATAATGACTGCAAAGCCATACATCTGGAGATTATTTCATGAGAATCAACAAAGAATCCTGGACTGAGGCAGGAAGGTAGGAGGAAAACCAGTGTGGCTCAGAAGCCAGAGACGGTTTCCAGCAAGGAGCAAGTGCTCACTTTCTACCTAGTATTAACTCACCTCTCCTACTAAACAGGAAGCTTCAAAAAGGGCCAATAACTATTTCTTCTTCATCTTGGTACCCTCTGCTCTGAATATACTAAAAACTCAATTTATGTTTACTGACAATGTAAGTCATGGAGAGGTAACAACTACTCCAAGTGAATGACATCTGGGCAGCGTTTCATCTTTCTCAATTCCACAGTCTATAGCCAGATTTACCCCTTGCTAATAAATATAGAAAAGTCTCACTTAGTCCAAAATTAATCATCTCAATTATTTTCTCCTTGCCACTTTACAATAAATGGCATGTCTATCTATCAATTGAGCAGTATCAAGAACAGTGCTGGACACATAACAGGTGCTCAGTGAATATTTGTTGGACAGATGGGTGTGGTGGGAGAGAAAAAGGGAAGAAAAATAGTGTTGAGTCTCTTATGTCTTATCCAGCAGAACCTACAGACAAAATGAAGCATAATAATTCTTTATAGATTTCATTTACCACCATATTCTCATCAATAACTAACATTGACTATGATGAATTAAATCTTTTATAAACTTAGAAGAAATTGATTAGAAAATAAAATCATTTGAAATATTTTACAATTTAGAAATAGTAAATCTATATTTTCTAAGTCAGTGTTTTTTATATTTATCCCTAAATTTCTAATATCCCTATAAGCAATTCATTTTACACAAAAAGATATGAAGTATAAACTTCCAAAGCCTAGTATAGGTTCAGTAGTTTTGATAAAAAACAAAATTTCCTAAGACTGTTGAAAGTAGATTCATTCTTAGTACAAAACATTTTAAAAGAAAACCTGATACTGATTTCTAATATTCCCTATAAAAAGCCAAAGATCCAAATAACAAAAGACAGAAGTGCCTGAGAACTTAACTACTGAGTGAACTTTTTCCACTTATAATTTTTCTATTTAAAACCCTAAAATTAAAATTCAGCAATACCTGAGGCACCATACCGCGGAGACTTCGAACCAGATGGAGAGGATTCCTTCATTCGATCAATCACATTTTCCGAAAGCTGAAAAAGCAACATCAAAATAAAATCAATTATAAAAGAACAAGAAAGAAAGCCAGTGCAATAACAGCCAAGTAATTTAGTCATCCATATCAATATGTATAATGAATGGCCTAAAGAAATTAGGCTAAATCTAATAGCCATAAAACTAGAAGCAAGTAAGAATAGTTTTAAGATTTCAAGATGCACCCCACAGCACTACTCCTTTATTTCTTCTAATGCACTGCTAATTGCTTATTATAAATACCCTCAATTTTATACTGTGCATGAAAATGTAATCTCTGAGAAAATGTAAGCCATCTGAATTCCTTCAATTTTCCTCCCCTAAATCTACAAATTTGTATTAACAGGCCTTAGCTTCTTCCTTCCCTCCAGTCCAAATAGAAAGAGTTCCTCACTCACTCCCCCCTCTGTTCAATGCCAACTATAATATCACACAATCATTCTTTCAACAGATTTTATTATGCACCAACTGTGTACCAGGAGCTAGACTAGACTTTGAGTATTCAAAGTCATCAAGTTGCTTAAAGTGGAGTAGAATACACAGACAACCATTAGGCATTTACATCAGATGTGAGGGGTACTGCTTACAGGAGTCAGGCTGTAGTGGGGGTACATGGAAAGCCTAATGGACAGTGGGTCTAGCCCAGCTTTGGGGGTGGGGCTGGGGCAGAGGGTCAGGGAAGACTTAGAAACAAGGATGAAAAGAAGTTAGGAAGAGAAGCAGTAGGGTAATAATAGTGCTTCAAGGCAAGGAAACCACATTAAGTATAGATAAGAAACAGGGTTTGCCACCATTAGACATCCAAGTGGAGATATAAAGTAGGCAGTTGGCAATAGGGCAGAGGCTATGAGGACACAGGCCTGCAGGTTTGAGAGTCTCCAGCCTCACAGTTACTGTCGCATCATCTTCATAGCACTCACTTAACACTATCTGATGCTTTTTGTTTACCATCTGCCTTTCACTAGAAAGCTCCATGAAAGCAACGATTTGGCTGTCTTATTACTATATCCCCAGAGCCTCAATAGGCCTGGTTAACTGAAGGTATCAATGGTTAAATGAGTGAGTTAAACAATATGAATGAATTAATGAACGAACGGCTGAAGTAAGAAACTGCAGAGGGGGCATAGTGAAATAGAAGGTGGAGAGGGAAGGTAGAGATTTCAGATTTTGAAGAAACGTAGTAAACCCTTCTGTTTCATGAGTTTGAACTTGATCCTGGGGGTACTGAAGGATTTTAAGCAGGGTAATAACATGATCAGATTTACACTTTAGGAAGATCACTCTGGCTACAGTGTAGAGAACAGATTGGAGAGGGACAAGAACAGAAGCAGAATCCCTGAAGGAGGCTAAAGGACCAATTAAGAAGCTATTAAGCATATGTCCACACAAAGACTTGCACAGGAATGTTCATAGCGCTATTATTCATAATAGCAAGAGTGGAAACAAACAAATATCTATCTACTGGCAAATGGATACAAAACTCTAAATATCCATACAACAGAATAAAACTTTGCAATAAAGAAGAATGAAGTTCTGATTCATGCCACAATATGGATGGACCTAGAAAACATTATGCTAAATAAAAGAAGCCAAACACAAAGGCCACATATTATATGATTCTATTTATATGAAACACCCAGAAAAAGCAACTCTATAGAACGAATAGATAAGTGGTTGCCTAGGGCTGGAGTGGGAATAGGGATTAACTGCAAATGGGCAAAAGAGATCTTATTGGGATGACTAAAACATTGTAAAACTGGATTATAGTAAAGGTTGTTCAACTCAGTAAGTTCATTAAAAACTGTTGAATTGTACGCTTAAAACAGATGAATTTCATTAGCATGGAAATTAATCTGCAATAAAGTTTAAAAAAAAAAAAAGCTATTATGGCAATCCAGGGGAGAACACCTTCAAAAGATACTTAGAATCTAAAATAATTAACATTCACTGAGTGCTTACTATGCACCAGGCACTACACTAAGCTAAGCACTTCACTCATTTAATCCCTAATACTTTCATTATCTCTTTTATAGGTGAGGAAACTGAAGCATAGCCAGATTAAATAATTTGCCTTGGATCATACGTTTTATCAGTAGCAGAGCAAGGATGCAAACCCAGGAAGTCTGAGCCTCAAGATCACTCTCAAATACTCCTGTTCACTATCACCCAGTACCTGACTAGACGTGGGAGTAAAGCAGAAACCATCAAGAAGGACCCAGGGTTTCCAGGTCAAGTAATTGGGCCCCCTCCCTGCTCCTGGATCAAGGACCTGCTTGCAATTTCCACTTCAACTCGCCACTGTCTGGCTTTTTACCCCTAGTGCAACAGTGAAAGTATCTGGTAAAAGTCACCAATAGCCAAATAACTTTCTATATTTACATAAATAAATATATTTTATATTTATAAGGCACCTTATTTATATGGCTTCCTTTTAGCATCTAACACCTTTGGTCACTCCCCTCTTCTAGAAACCCCTCCCTTGGCTTTTCAGACATCCCATTGTCCTGATTCTCCTAGGACTCCGGCCATGTCTTATCTCTTTTGCAGGCTTCCCCTCTCCTGCCTACCCTTATATGCTAAAGTGTCTGCATTCTGTTTTTGTCCTTATTCTCTTCTCATTCCATGTGCTCTTGTTGGTACTCTCATCCAATCTCTTGATTTCTAATTGCTGTTGATAAATAATGAGTTCTAAATCCATTATCTCCAGCCCTAGACCTATATCCCAGAAGCCAGGCCTACACACTGAATTGCCTAATGAACACCTTGCCTTGGATAGACCAGAAGCACCTCATGTCCAACGTGGCCAAAATTGAACTTGTTTGCCAAAATTCTCTTCCTTCTCCTGTTTTCTTTACCTCATTAATGACAAGACCTACACCCAAATTTTAACATTAGAACACAGGACTTGTCCTTAACTATTCTCTCATTTCTTAGCCATGACTTCCTTAATCGCTCAGTATTTAAGGAATTCATCATCTTTTCAGCCATCCCATTTCTCCTGCCCTAATTACTGGTACCATTAATAATCATCCTAAAATGCAAATGTGATCATGGTAACTCCCTGCTTTAAATTCTTCAATAGCTACCTTCTGTTGACAGGAAAGTCCAAATGCTTTTGCAGGGCACTGAAGAATTACTTATTCATTATTTGGCGATGGCCTAACTCTCCAACCTCAACTTCCACAGTCTGTCCCTTAATATTTCATACCCTGTTCTACACCCATACGTGGCTACTTGTTTGTTACCATCTCTTTGCCTTTACACTCATGCCTACATTGCCTTCTCTCCTGACCCACCTTAGGAGACAGTCACCTCTCAGGATGCAGTTCAAACATCCAAAAGCCTTCACTGACCAAACCAGTTCCCCAGTCCATTCCAACCCTGCCTTAGCACTACCCTTCCTTGTGCCAACTGCACCTTGCACGCACCTCTAATACAGCACTACAGTGAAAGAATAAGTATTTGCCTTTCTGCATTTCCATGAGATCGTGAGCTCCTATGTATTAATGAATCATTCATTCAACACAGGTTTCCTAGGCCAGGCACTAATCAAGGCCCTGTGATACATCAGTGTACAAAAGTTTTTAGCTGAACAGTACTTTTTTCTCAGGGCCCAAACCAGAATTGAGGTGAGATGGCAAAGGGAAAGACCACAGCTCAAAAGTTATGCTCTTTGAAGGAAAAACCTATGACTCCCTTCTTGGAAGACAAGTGTAAAAAAGAAAGGTGAGTGCCAAGAGACTTGCTATGTGAACATGCCAGGAGCTGCATCTTTTCTAGTAACTGACAGCCACTGGGTATGTCGTTGAAACTCATCTGCAAAGCTGAGATACAGCTTAGAAAAAACCCTGGAAGACTAACCCCAATCCCCTCAATTTACAAGTGAGGAAAAAAAGAGACCCTGAGCAATTTCCACTTACTGGTAGTAATAAGACTAGAAGGAATAACCCCCAAACTCCAGTTCAATGTTCCACTATTAAACCTAACACTCCTTCAATCCCATGTATATAATTAAAATATATCACTTCCTCTTAAAGGGATATAAAATAAGACTTCATTTTAGAAACTTAAAGCTATTTTAACTGATATATAATACATAAAACTCATTTAACTTATATATGCTACATATTATATTTAATATACTATATTAATATACTATGTTACAATTTACTAGTGTATAACACCGTATATTACATATTACATAAATGCTATGTATTCTATACTATTATATACAACATACACTGTTACATATACAATAGAACTTACATGTATAAAGCTAATTAAGCTTATAATTTTTATATATTATATAATTTTATATTTTAATTTATATTTCTATATTTCAGGCTAAAGTCAAAGAACAACACAAAAAATATATTCTACCTAATTAGAAAGTGAATGTGTTTGCTAAAAATCAAGTGTTAGCTATAAACTTTCACCTGTATTAAAGACAAGCCACCCTTTCTTTTAAATACCACTTCATCTACTTCTCATCACAATTCATACCTTGATACTATCTATTGCTACTTTTATACTAACTGGTACAAAAAATCCTTCCAATCCCTAAAGCAGCCTCAAAAATACCAGCCTTTGGGAGAATTTTAAAAAGGTGGCCCAGAATACAAGAAAAAGCATGGCCACCTACTAGCTAAGCCTAGGGAAGTCACCTCAATGAGCCTCACTTCTCTCAACTGAAAAATAAAAATATTTATCCCCAGGGGTTATGAGGATGATTATAGTTTATACAGCATAAACTATAATTGGCTACACAAATATTTGATAAAGCTATTGCCCATACGACTCCACCGTGAGGACTTTGATTTTTATTTCATTTTTGTTCACTCTCATCAACTGAGCCTGAGCTTGTAGGGGGCTCCTTCTATTCACGGTGCATAAGGAGTAGGCCTATAGCTTTTGCAGACAGCAGGTGCCAAAGTTCTGGTATGCATACATAAGGAGCTTATTTATCTGTATCTACACTCCTTAGGTACTAACGGTAGAA